TATATATATATATTCCTCCCCTCCTAACCCTCGCCTCCTTGCCGTTATCTAGATTTGCCTCAATCCACGTCTCTCTGTATCCTCCTGCTGATCTTTAGCATCTGTAATTTATTTACGAGCGATCGGGTCTTACGACGCGTCTGCATACATACACCCGGGTTCATCGTCGATGAAAGATGAGGACCTTCGCTCGTCGACGTCACGGCGCTGCAGCCATACGTAAACACAAGCGCGTGCGCGTGCGCGTGCGCGTGCGCGTGTGAATCAGAGAATTCGTGGCGCGAGCGCGTCGCTCCACCGTGGCGTTATTATTTAACGTTGTAATTAGCGTTATCTAGTTATCGGTGTAGCATGGCTAGTTCGTAATTCATTTTGGTATTAATTTTATAGACTTCGTCAACCTTTTGTTGTGTGAGAGGGGAGGATGTTAGGTGGGTGCATTTATGATTGGATGGATGGATGGATAAATGGATTCACGAGTTGGTGCGTGCGTGCATGTGTGCGTGCGTATATAGGTGCATGTGGGTGCGCGCATACATTTACATACCTGAAAATCTGAGTGTGCGCGCACGTGCATACGCAGGGTTCTCCAAGAGCACTTATAGCCTGGCGGCCCGCCAGGCTATCGTCGAGCCCCGCCATGCTAAATATCATAGCCCCTGGACCCCCTTAGCACGCAAACCGCCTTCGGCGATTTCCAACTAGGACCGTAAAGGTAAAGGTACCTGGGACTTTTGTCCGATTCTAGCTATCATTGGTGCCCTAGGTATTACGTACTGCTGTGTACTGCGTACTGAGTATATATAAAGGGCGCCTGAGCGTTAGCATTCAGTATCGGAGCTGCTCTCAACGTTGGACTTAGGAAAGAAACGAGGGCAAATATCACTGACTACAAACCACGCGTTAACGGTAAGCGTAGTTATATTTGAGTTTATTCTTTGGGCCTGGTGGCTCATATATATATATATATATATATATACACATATATATGCAAGTGCGATGTAGGGTACGTTATATAAAGTTTGCATTAGTTGCGTTTTTATTGTAAACAAAATTGAAGTTGAAGTATAGCTATATGTATCTCGTGTCTAATGCGTATAGGCGTACGGGAATGCAAGGGTGCGCCACCAACTATATCTGTACACAACAGGATTATTTCTTCATAAACTTTATTCTTTACTTTAATCCAACTTAGTTGTGTTGACGTCGATACCCTACAACAATAATTATAACCGTATAAGCAAAATAACAAAACTCAGTTCTACGATAAACATTTCAGGGATAAATAGAGCTAGACATTACAAATAGCATAATTTCGAAGCAATTATCCACCACGTTAACTATAAATAATATAACTTTTAGAAACAATTATAAAGCGTGGGAACACGAATCAGGCGTCTGTAGAATAGACATAAGAAACATCAAATTGCATGTAGACTAACAATTGACAATCAACAGAATCGACATGGATAAACTCACCAAAGATTTGTGGCTTTTGTAACAAGCCGTACCCTACATGAACTTAGAAATGCATGGAGAAATTCAAACTTGAAAGGGGCGAAAGAATTATCATTCCATCATTAGTGACATCTTGAGAACAAAGGGCTGTTCTTTCCTTGGACCAGAGCATGGACACAACACATAGCACCATCTGAGAACAAACCACTATTAAATCCTCCATAGGATCCTATGCTTAAGCATTGATTTTCAGGAGCTGAAAAATAGTATTTCGACCGTTTTTGGCCGAGTGGCAATATTAAAGCTAGGTAGCCATGTACTTCAGCTGTGCACCATTAGAGTTATGACATATGTTGTCCGGCGTTTCGAAAAAATATCGCGAATTTACTAACCGACACCACATTTGTGCCTGAAAAACAGTCGCGCAGTCGAATGGGGGCCATACATTGAAAGAATTCGTTTTAAATTACCAGTAACCATCTACCCATCTCAATGTGCATGTCATTGCCACACACGATAGCCAGCCTAAATAATGCAACCACAAAACGTCGCGTCAGCTTTAGTGCACGAGCTGCGGGCCCTCCGATTGGCCGGCCAATGTTTTGTCACATCCTCTAACCTAACAGGGTAATGAACCGGAAGCGATTTAATAGTGGTCACGTGTCTGTATAGAAACGTTTTTTTCTCGGAATCTGTCAAACCCAATAAAATTCTTTCCGACAAACACCGCTGCACACGGGTGCAAAATGTTTGTTTAATTCGCTGTTCGTTTTTTGAGTTTTGGCGATTTCTTCGACCCCACCCTCCCGGCTTCAAGGCGATTCCGGTGCCCATCTGCTTTGTGGAATGCCAAGTCGGGGCATAGTTCGAGTAGTCGCTAGAGTTGAATAGAATGATTTACATTGAATAAAATTGCATTCACCTATGCGAAACTTGATATTCTATGTGATCAATAAAAAAATAAAAAATAAATCGCACGTCGAATACGATTTCTCGGTAATTTAGAATGCCAGATTATCGGTCATAAAAAACGGGTCAAATTTTGCATTGGATTGAATATTTTTATGAAAATAAAAGGGCTTTTTTGTCAAATCTGATACTAAACGAACGCGACATGTCTTGTTGTCTGCTAAGCCAAAAATTAGCACTTGGAAGCAATCGGTAATTTTTTTTATAGCGATTGAAGCGGCTGTGGGAATTGTACACCAGGTGGCGCTATCACATCATAGTGTTATTGGTAGACGTTCTATTTACGTGCTCCAACAATGATGGTTGGAAGCATTTTTGATTATATCTCAAGAATAGGCATTTACGCTTCATTTGGAATAGAATTTGTGCAAAGGCGACAGCCAGTTTCGGAGATTAGGCAAATCCAAGTTGGTTCACCCAACAAAAATCATCGCTTTCATTGTTCCACTTCGCTGTGGATAGACACTATTGGCGAAGCGATCGACATCATGGACCGTTTTTATACTAAGACTTGTTCTAATAAAACAATACATCTGGGACAAGTTTATTTCAAGGCTGTAACTCATGCAAAATTCTTCTAGCTGATGCTTGAATGGGTGCAACAGACGCAGATGGACATAATACTGGCGCCACGAGTGTTCAGTGTAGCCCACGAAAGCCACTCTTTCACGCAATAAACAATGCTAATTAATTCGTGGCAGACACGAATGTTGTATATGAGAATTGTTACCCAGCATCGTTCTTGAATTCGCAGTGTCTCTTTATGCCGGCAGGTAATTACGCTGCGTGCCGATGTATCGATTTCTATAGGCTTCCTTGGGTGGACTGGTAGATGCAACAACTGGAAATCATACGATTCATAGCCTCAGCTCCCTAAAAATATCAAGGATTAACAATTCAATGACAGAATAGAAGAAAACCTGATACAATGATTACTAAGTACAAACGTCTTAGCAGTAGATTTTAGCAATAGCAGGACTATTCGCAGACTATTAGCCGCGACGAATGAGATTTAACGAAGCAGAGACTCGTTGTGACTGTGTCTGTCTGTGTGTGTGTGGAGTGTGTGTGTGGTGGGGGGGTAACAAGGGTTAGGTATAGGGTTAAGCCTAGTATTGCATGACTAAAATTGACCGAGAGCTAGCCTTAATACACTATTGCATGAACGTTAGTATTACGAACTAGAATCGCATTCGTTATTTGCATCAATTAAGTTTTCAATTTGCCTAATGTGCTGTTCTTTCACTACAACATGTCCGCCAGATTTATTCTCAAACTCAACGTTAACTTTTCCGAGTCCAACTTTAGCGCAATCTCACACATAAATGACACCTCTCACTTTCTGCACAGGTAGGCACGAGAAAACGAGTGAAATTAGCAGCCCCGCACTCGCAGTCATTCATATTGAAAATGTGAAAATTTCCAGAAACATTTTTTCAGCGTGACAGAGAACAGACCCACTATTAAATCCTCCATAGGACCCTATATTAAGAATTGATTTCCAGGAAGCTGAAAAATAGTATTTCGACCGTTTTTGCCGAGTGACAATATTAAACGCTAGGTAGCCATGTAATTCAGCTGTGCACCATTAGAGTTATGACATATGTTGTCCGGCGTTTTAAAAAGATATCTCGAATTTACTAACCGACACCACAATTTGGCCTGAAAAAAGTCGCGCAGTCGAATGGGCCATACATTGAAATAATTCGTTTTAAATTACAGTAACCATCCACCATCTCAATGTGCATGTCATTCCACACATGATAGCCAGCCTAAATAATCCAACCACAAAACGTCGCGTCAGCTTTAGTGCACGAGCTGCGGGCCCTCCGATTGGTCGGCCGATCACGCGTCACATCCTCTAACCTAAAGTCGCGTTCACACGGGCATGGTTTGGCTCGAGCCAAATGGGCTGATTTGGCTCGCGGCCAAATTTGGCTCGGGCCTAATTAAGTCGGAGCGTTCACACGTACGCAAGTGAATACTGTCTGTAATTCAAATTCAAATTCAAAAAATTTTATTGCACAAATATCTCACAGATACTTTGCAGTATGTCGCGAGATGGCGTTGTTTACGATTTAGAGTGTTTACTTACGTTCCGAGTTTAATTATCAATCTTGAAAACGTGCATCCTGATCAAATTTTTCGAATTTTTACACTGTTTTGGACTTTATTTCGTCGAAGTACACGTTCGACACTCGCGGCATCTACCGCTCAACGCTCTACCGCTCTACCCCCCTCGCCGAAAGCTAGTGCTAAAATTTGGCTCGGCCTGTCCGACGTTTTCGATGGACCAAATCTGGCACGGGCCTAATTAGGCTCGGGCCAAAACGTCCGTGTGAACGCGCCATTTAACAGGGTAATAAACCGGAAGCTATTTAACAGTGGTCACGTGTCATCTATGAACACAAATTACCGTAACGCAATATTAACACATAACGCCATCTATGAACACAAATTACCGTAACGTAATAATGCGAGGTATACAGTAAAAACCCGCGTATAAGAACATAGATTTAAGAACATGTTAGGCTAAAATTTCCCATTTAGACCCCTTTACATAAGAACCTGTTTTAGGCTAAGATTTTAAAGTAGGTTCTTAATTTTCCATGCAGATGAAGACTTAAAAAGAAACACAGGTAAAATAAAAAAGACGACTTAACAATATCGATGCAATAACAATGCCAATGCAATGCCAATGCTCAACAATAACAATGCCAGCACCCTGGCATTGTTATTGAGACACAGTACTGCATTATTTACATATACAGTAAAAACCCGCATAAAAGAACACGTTGATTAAGAACACTCAGGCTGAAATGCGGTCAAAAAATTGCATATACATAAGAACACATTCAGCCTGAAAAATAAAAATCTATCTATATTCTAACTTTGGAGTCCGTATCATCAACCAGTAGTTCCTACATAGCATACAATAAAACATTTGTGTGTGTGTGTGTGTGTGCGTGTGTCTGTATTTCACTGTGTACTTGCCAACACAATGGTTAATGGTTAGCGTGTAAGCCATGATTGTACATGTATTGTATTGACATCTCAACCATAAAAAACAAACATGTGCAACAACTCTCTCCATATAACACCTTACATAACACTACTGGGTCTGGTAACAGCATGCAAGTAAGCCGCGCGCAGCGCATGCGGTGCCACGCGGCATCGACCCTGAGCCAGCCCGCGCGTAGCGCGGGGTTCAGCTAGTACATATTAAAAGTAGAAACAATTAAGAACCTATTTAAGAACCTTTTGAGCCTAATTTTTCAGTAAGCACCATTTATATAAGAACATGTTGAGGCTAACTTGAAAAAATCTATGTTCTTACACACGGGTTTTTACTGTATTATGTATCATGTAGGCTTGTTTTACATTCCCTCGCCTCCTAGCAATTTAATTCACTGAATTGAAAAAAATATTGCAGCATTTAAGATTCATATTTGAGATATTATATTGCTTTTTACGATAACCTCTCGTGGAATAAATGGTCCACAGAAATTATGACATTTCGTTTCAGCTTGAATCCGACTCGTTTATATAGCAGCGGAGATTTGCACGACAATGACTAGGTTCCTTCTGATCGTGGTCACGGCCGTCGGTGTGCAGTTGTATTCGGCGGGCCTCACACACACAGGCTGTGTCTCACACTGTCACCCAAACAGCCACTGTCACTCACACTGTGACCCACACAAAAGCGCCCCACGCCAGCGACGACAGGCGTCGAAACTCCACAATCTGCCACAGGACTTTCTCGACAGTAAGTTTCTTGTGGCACGCTTTGATAATGATTATTATAAGAATAAGAATAAGAATCCGAAAAATATTTTCGCTGCGATTATAGTTACAAAATCCTAAATTCCGCTTCAGGATCACTGTCGAATCGCGCTGTTTGATATACATTATTCCTGAGCCTATTACGTGCGTGAATGTATCCGTTCGACATATAAGGATAATATATACTACAGCGCCGCCTAGTAAATACACACCAAATTACTATTTTATATGTACAGAAAACCTATGTGAGTCGAACAGCGTTATCCTGTGCCAAAACCGTCCGTCGTAATCGACATATCCTTGCCGCTCAAGAAGCATGCGAGTGAAAATTGAATCTTTATTATTTATTTATTTATTATTTATTATTATTATTATTATTATTTATTATTTATTATTTATTATTTATTTGAGTGAACTGTAATCTAATAGGTTAATTGGTCACTATATAGTTTCTATCAGAGCGATTACAAGAGTGGAATTGCAATCTGTCGAGAGCACGCTGCTGCTCACAGAGCAGACGCCTGCGTGTGGACTACCTTAATTGGAATGTAAACTATGAACTAGTCCTCCAAATGTCATTTACTAGTCTTGCCAGGCGGCGGGCTATGGGGTGATGAAGCACAGCTGATGTCAACGGCCGCGTTCTTGTTGCAGAGTTATCGGATGCTGGAACAAACGCTCTGAAGAGCAAGTACTTGGAGGCGGCAAAACTCGTGAAGGCACAGAAGACCGCTGTCGAAGCAGAAGAGCCCAAATGTAAAGCCGCCGCCGAGAAGGTAATTTTCGCATCAACTAGCATAAGTTCGCGTCAGATTTCCTCCACGCTAGGGCAACCTGGCTATGCACAAGTCTGATGTATATAATAGAAGTCTGAAGTATGATAATATATAGTTCTATAAGTGAGAACACTAACAGGAAAGCTCGCGTGCACGCTTACCTTGAGAAGCAATAAGGTGCATCCGATCATGTCTAGCCCTATTCCCCGCCGGAGACGAGTAAAAGAACAAAATATACTCCATAATATGTGTATAAAAATAAATGTACTTTACCAATGTATATGACTCATGATACTCATGGCGTTATAACTCAATTATAGGAACGATATTACAACTTGACATATTCTCGCTCATAAATATGAATACAGTACAAACGGTGTGACTCTTCTATTTCTATCCATAAATTCGGGTAGAACCCAACGACGGTATCGCTAGTATCGTTTGGATTGTTTGGCTCGTTTTGGATTCGTTTGGATTGGATAATGTGACACTATAATGTGCGTTGATATTGTACTTTCTCATTGCTGTCTGGCGATACAGTACAAGAAGCATTCGAAACAGTCACCTGACCGTGTTATAAATTTAACTTCTTCTAGCTGAACCACGATTGCCAGCATTGCTATTTTTAAGCCCCTCTCACCACTTTCTCACTTTCTTCCACTTTAGGCAACGGCAGCATTAAAAGAGATGAATGATGAATTCATCCAGACTCAGTGTGGGCCGTGCATACAGGAAAAGTGTTCTGCATTCACTAAGCAATGTGGTGAGCCTCCATTTATATTTGTGTGCGTCCGTGCGTGCTTGTGTACGTGTGTACGTGCGTGCGTGTGTATGTATGTGTATATGAGTGGTGTAGGCATATGTAAGCGCTGGCGGGCGTACGTGCATATGCCAGCTTGTGTGCAGTGTTGCGTACAAAAGAAAGGGATATTTTCTGTTCGCCGGTGCGTGTTTACGCGCGCGCGCGCGCGCGCGCGCGCGCGTGTGTGTGTGTGTGTGTGCGCGCGTGCGCTTGCGGCGTGTGCGTGTGCGTGTGCGTGTGCGTGTGCGTGTGCGTGTGCGTGTGCGTGTGCGTGTGCCGTGTGCGTGTGTGTGTGTGTTTGTGTGTGTGTGTGTGTGTGTGTGTGTGTGTGTATGTGTGCGTATGTGTGTGTGTGTGTGTGTGTGTGTGTGTGTGTGTGTGTGTGTGTGTGTGTGTGTGTGTGTGTGTGTGTGTGTGTGTG